ATAAACACTTCGTTCAGTTACGTATTGCCTCGAAAATGCTCTTTACTTTTCTTTACTTTTCTTTAAAACAAAAAAGCAGTTTACCTTTCTTCATAACATGTTCCTTAAAATATCGAAAAACACTTTGTAAAGCAAAAGGTATGAACAAACGACCCTATAACTGGACTCTTCATCGCTGATCTGTGCTTAGCATTCAACGAAGATCATACTTAAAAGATGATCAAAGATCCATTGCTGTTCTGAGGAATGGCGTCATAATAGATATTTACCGCGCGCTTGCAAAAGAACTTCTGTTCCCGTGGCAATCCTAACAATCCCAAAAGTCAATGCAGAAGAATTTCATGGCCTTTATTTTTCGGTTCAACAGGTTGATTCTCTCTAAATTCTCTAGATGTGGTTGCGATTTCTCTTTTTTTTTTTTTTTTACTTGAGTTGGATAGGGACAATATTTTTCATAAACACAATGGGCACAAATGACGCCTGAAACGGTCTCTAGAAACTACTTTCGCAGATTCTATCCGTTTAAGCTAAAGTTTGCTGAATGTACTCTAACAATCGTACATTTTTTTTTTTTTTTTTCTTGGACATTTTCTTTCTTTCTTTCCTCGGCAGGGGTGGGGTTGGGGGGGTTACACACGTGCGAATAGGTAGCTTACGTTGGTCAGTGGATGTCAAAATAATTATTAGAACTCAGGATAGTTGGGGAACGTTCTAGCCCAGGTACTGTACCGAATTACAATTTTAAGCGGCCTTAGGTGTTGCATCTATTTTTGATTAAATTCAGTAATTTTTAATGTTTGTTACGGGGGAGTAGCCACGTTTTAATGATATGCCAACCTGCGAGACTACTTACCAACATTGCACAGTATTCGTGATTCTTACAAAAGACCTCTTTGAAACGTGACATTTCATGACCGCATATCGTATGGGACTGAAAACTCTGTCCCCTTGGCCTCGCTCTGAAGATCGTTTGATGGCGGCTGCCATCTTCCGTGTAAATCTTCTCTTACAGCAGCAGAAAACACCTTTCAAAACCGGCGTGCCGGTTTGGACAGCTCCTCCATCACTGCAATCATACAGTCTGATTCCAGAACCTGTTGAATTATAATTTGGCGAAAGTACGTGCATCAACGTCCGTCGTGAGGGTGCCTGTTGAAGTGGGCTGTGTCAGATCAAGACATTGATATTGCAGAAGACGATTTTACAGCTATAACCTAAGATGCCGGCCGTAAAGGGAGGAATGCGCGGCTTAGCCGTGTTTATTTCCGACATTAGAAACTGTAAGTGATTTGAGACATTTAATGTTTCCAAATTGCCTCTGTTGAATGATTTTGTGTCAGTTTCTGGCGTTTGACACGTGTGTGTGAGATTCGATTCAGCTGGGTTGTCCAGTGATCAACATTTGCCGCTTCAATTCATCACGGATATTTTGAATAGCTTCCTCACGATGTTCCAACACGTGTTTATTTTTTGCTTCAGGTAAATCTAAAAAGCTGAAATCAAGCGAATTAACAAGGAGCTTGCAAATATTAGAAACAAGTTCAAGGGTAAGTTTGTGTGCATTAATGCGAGTTGAAGTGCATATTATCCAAATTTATTCACGAATAGCCAAATCCTCTCACTTACGTCTTCTAAAACTTACGCTTCGTCTCACCGCTCTTAATATGTCGCCTTTAATTTGATTTTCAAGGTGATAAGCAGTTAGACGGGTACCAAAAAAAAAGTATGTCTGCAAGCTTCTGTTTATATTTCTACTGAGGGCACGACATCGATTTTGGTCACATGGAAGCCGTAAATCTTCTCTCTTCGAACAAGTACACGGAAAAGCAAATTGTATGTATATATATATATATACCTGATGTATCATTACCTTATTCATTTTCTTTTTATGAGCTCAAAACTGTCAAGTGTCTACTCCACAGTTTTGTCGAAAAAGACAAATTGATCCGGGATGGATAAGTTGTCATTAATTTGTGATCGAACGGTCGTCCCATTAGGTTAAACGTCAAACTTTGATTTCCTTAAAGTTACCATAAATCATGATATTTGTAAAGTTTAGGTAGGAAAACACTTTAGGGTTATTGCAGAGAAAATAAATTGTCAATCATTTTGAGTCTAGAAAAGCTTCACAGAATTAAATGTACTTTTTGATGTACATGTACCTACAGGAACTCTAACTGCAGGCTTAAATTCATTATCTCCCAGTATGCTGTGAAATTAGCCTGATTTTATAACTTGCAATCCCCATTTTGAAGAAGCTAATTGGATGATCTGAATTCATAAGTAAAGGCCGTTTGATTCTTTTCCTATCAATAACAAACCACTTTGAAAGGTTAAATGTTTTTTGTGTCTATTTCCATAATTGTTTATAATATTACTCCCTACAGGTGTATGTGCTTATTAGTGAATATTTCTGAGTGTTTGTCTTAACTCCTCTAAGGGTGGTTGGAATTTTTCTTTTCATAGATTTTTGCCATCTTTGAGATCAATTTTTTTTTATTTTAGCTTTAAAAATTTGCCTTTTCTGGTTTCATGTTTTTTGCAGGTTTTTCTTCTCCTCCTTTTTTTTTTTTGCTTTCAGTTTTCATCCAAGATAAAAATCAGGTTTACGGATTTGCTATTCAATGTGGCTTTTTTTTTCATTCAAAAGGCAAAAGAAATTAAACCAAATGAGAAGGGGTAATTTTAGAATACCCTGTTCTACATAATGCATTAGCATATCTCATAGCATTTTAGAACAAAGTATATAAAAATAAATGGATCCATTCTTATTCAGTTACATGGAAATGAGACAAAAATTGCCAGGTGTTCTATAATTTAGCCAAGAGAACTTTCTTAAATTCAAAACCTCTCTGCACTAGCCACCTTGGGGACAGAACTTATAAGTTGCCATTATCACATGTTGTAGTGTAATATAAAACCCTGGGGCCTTGTGACTCCAGAATTGTCTCTTGTCATCTCTGTATCAGGAAATGACACGTACCTCTTTATTTCTACAGACTAATTTTATTATATGAGGATTTTTGCTTACAACATTAGTGTTTCCTCTTGTTGTCTGCAGGGATATCTGTTTATTTCAGTCCTTGTAAGCGCAAACAGTGAGCTTATCAAGCTCATAATCCAAAGCATCAAGAACGACCTTTCCAGTCGTAATCCCATCAATGTCTGCCTGGCACTTCAGTGCATAGCAAATATTGGCAGCGCAGGAAATGGTGGAAGCTGTGGGCAAGGAAGTTCCTAAGCTGCTAGTTTCACGGACACAAATGACAGTGTCAAGCAATGTGCAGCTCTCTGTGTTTTGAAGCTTTTCAAGTTGAAACATGACATCTTACCACGGGAGAATGGACATCAAGGATAGTACAACTACTAAATGACAAGCATCTGGTGAGTTGTTTCTTTTATAATATTAGGGTTTCTAGGAATGATTGGATAATTATGTAAGGCTTATTACTCTTAGACTAAAATCTATCAGTTTACTAAGCATTAAAGTTTTGAGCAAAAACTATTTTTTCCCTCTTGAACAAAAGATAGAGAATATTTGCCAGGGCAACTGGGAACTGTTAGAGCACAGCCTTGTATTCATGTACATTGAAGTTTCTAGAAAAATGAAAAGTTCAGAATTAATTAGGAGGAGGAAGAAACAATACTTTGAAGCTTTGTTGGTGTCACTGCAGGATATTTTTAGCTGTCAAAAACAACCTTTTCTAGTGAAATACTGTAAACAATGTCATGGGTCAGGTGGATCTTTTAAGTAACTTTCATGATGAAAGTTACTGGATATAACCATTACAGACACAAAAGGTTTGCCATTTGAGTTTGATTTTTAAAAGACTGGCATTACTTCAAAGTGTATGGGCCACGATATCACCAAAAATTTATACAATATATATTATCTTGGTCCTCTCCTGAAGCATGTCTTTTTTTCTTTACCATTGAAGTCTCCTTGTACACTGATCATGTAGCTTTGAGTTGCTCAGAGTTACAGTTGTACAGTGTATCTGACTCAGATCAGGACCCTCCTCGACCTGTATAATTCCTCATATCACACTCGGCCTCATCCAATAATAGTAGTAAAGTAATGTTTGGTCTTCTTTCTTCCTGGACAGGGCGTGGTAACTTCCGCTGCCAGCCTTATTCAAGGTGTTGTCCATATTTCGCTGAGGACTACAAAGGCTGTGTTCAGTTAGCTGTGTCAAGACTTAGCAGGGTATGAAATTTGCACAGATGTTGTAGTTCAGTTTGCTGGTATAATATTGTATGATAATGAGCTTGAAACAAAGAAAAATAAATTTTGAACTTACGATAAAATTTGACCACAACACGTAGAAGTCTGTTTTGTTACTCTACATGCATGTTTGCTTGATGTCAGTAGTGTCCTGATCATCAATAATTTACAACAAAAATGAGACCACCTCACAGTGGGCATTGTTGAAAAAGGTTAATAGTGGTTGTGGTAAAAAGCACATGTCGTGATGTGTACTGTACATTGATTTATTCAACTTACATTCAGCAGGCAGTTTTCATCAAACGATCATGTACTTGACAATGAGTAATAATATTATTGTTTTCAACAGATTGTGACATCATCCTATACAGATCTTCAAGATTACACATATTACTTTGTTCCTGCTCCATGGCTTTGTGTTAAGTTGCTTAAACTTTTACAGATGTATGGCGCCCCAGGTGAGATTTCCATCAGGATTGTTTTATATTTGTGACCTCACATGAAAAACGTTCCTTATGGTTTCTGGTTTTCGAAGGGATAGCCATTCATATGCTGTTTATTAGCCATTCAAACAAACTGGGTATCAGTTTGAGCGGCTCAGGCTATCCATTTGAAAAAATTGTAATCTGTTCGAACAGCTCAGGCTATCCGTTCGAATGGTTCAGGCTACTGTATCTGTTTTTTGCCGAGAAGTCACATTTCTACTGTTCCTCATTATTAACCCTTTAATTCCCAAGAGTTATCCACATCAGTTTTCTCTAATAATACCAATACATGATCAATAGGAAAGATTATGAGAATCAATGACATGATCACCTACATGAGCATGCTTTCATCTAAAGTTTTATCAAATTCTGTCAACTAATTATTTAAGAAAATGTATGGAGATCAGTTTAGAGAATTTGTAACTGGATATCAGGGCTTAAAGGGTTTAGTGAGGACCTGTTCGGGTAAAATTCTGACAAGTGACATGATCTTTAGACAGCGATGTAGGACAGCAGAAATGGTGGTAAATGACACAAAGATGGGTTGAATTGTGATAGCGACAGAGAAAAATAAATACAATAGTAAAACACTGACAGCGACATGGCTTCCTCTTCAATACGCGCAAAATGACAGGTTGTGAAATTCCAACTGCAGACATAACCCCCTAAGATGGCCTCAGCAGTGGCTATGTTGGTGTTCCAAACCTGTGAAATGGAGACTATGCGGTGTACCTTGTTATGTGTAAACTTTCTTTTGTTACAAGAAATGTGCATAGCTGCTAACCATGTGATTAAAAATGTTTTATTGTAGACATCCAGGAATCTCCACTGACAAAAATACTTGTGGTGTCTTTATGTACCTCCTCTTCCCCAACATAAGATGTTTCCTCATTTGTATAAATGCCCCATTGTAGTTTTTCTGGTTATGCAAGCTTTGCACAAAGAAGATATTTCAGTTTTCAGATTTTCACACCAAAAATGTTTGCCTATTAGGCTCATCAGATGGGTGGGGTGATATCTTTATCACGTTTCACCGATACATGTATATTCAGGGTGGGTCCTTGTTGAGACACTTTTTGACCTGCAAATTAAATTTTTTGCTGCCCTTTTTCATCGATTTCAGCCATAAACAGTTTACACTGCCACTGGAGAAATTATCCTTAAAAATTACTTGCTCATTGCAAATAAACATTGTTTTATTTAATCTTGCTGACTATTTTAGTGCTCTCTTAAGTTTTTCTCATTTTCTATTTAATCCAGAGGACCCAGCTGTCCTTGGAAGATTGAATGAATGTCTGGAAACTATTCTTAACAAAGCACAGGTATGAAAAGCCATACTTTCAAAAATCCATTCTTGATTTTTGACATTTACTACAACATTACAACAAACCAAAGAGCAGATGAAATCAAAACTTTGCTTGACTCTTGTAGGAACCACCAAAGTCCAAGAAAGTTCAGCATTCAAATGCCAGAAATGCAGTGCTTTTTGAGGCCATAAACTTGATCATTCACATGGATAGGTACGTGCATCTTATGTGTTTAACTCTGTGTTGCATTTCACTGGAATGGTGGAACTCAGGCAAGGAGGGAAATATATACATCTGTCTTTTGTAACATTCCTATACAGGTAACTACTGATAGAATTTGCCAGGCAAAAACTAAGAAAATTTGAAATAGGACACAAAATGGGTCTGTTTAGGGAAAAGTTTTCACCTTAGCAAACAAAAAGTTGAAATAGCTTCCAATCTATTTTTCCATAATTATTACTGTCCCTGTCTGGTATGGGAAAATCCCTCATAACAAAGACCCCTGTATAGTAAAAACATAAATTTGTATGAAGCATTTTTCATGTTGTGCTTTAGTATGGAGCCCTTTAATGCCACACATGTGTGCGTAGAGACTTCACATGTATGTTTAGATATCACATTCACAATGTTTACTTTTCTTCCTTTTGGAGTGACGTTTTCTGGTCTGACACAACTTTTGGTCTTGTGTGACTTTTTTCTTTGAACACATAGTCAAAATAAACCAGTCAGCTTTTTTACAGATTATCATTAAAAGTATGTCTAATTTTCACTTGATTTTATCTTCCCAGTGAACAGAGTTTGCTGATCAGAGGCTGTAACCAGTTGGGCCAGTTTTTGACGCACAGAGAAACTAACTTGAGGTAGATTTTCCTGAATATATTTGATCCATGGATACTAAAACCCCAATTATGGCTGTTTTCTCAGGTTGTAAGTGAGTTTGCAATAAGCAATGTATACTGCTTTGTTGTAAAGTTTTTGATCCAAGAGAGATGGCTATATTTGAGTGTTGGTTCTGAATTCTGTCCCCATTCCATTGTAATGGTTTATAAATTCTTTTTCTCCCAGATATCTCGCCTTGGAGGGGCTTTGTTTAATGTCCAATTCTGAGTTCTCAGCTGATGCTGTAAGGAAACACCAAGAAACAGTTGTTGGAGCCCTTAAGGTGAACTTGTCTGTTGTTCTCAGCCTTCAAGGTCTGCTTGTTTTCTTTACTTTGTACTGGAGTGTACTCTAACTAAGGATGCCCAGATTGCCAGAGCGTAACTCCAGTTTCTGTAGCATGAAGCACTTGTAGTAGGAGTATGGCATCCCTGGATGGGATGCTAGTCCATGAGTGGGTTACTCCAGCAATATGTTGCTGGTACCCATTTTATACACTTGGGTGGAGAAAGATAAAGAGCAGCAAAGAGTCTTGTTTTAGGAAACAATAATATAACAGCAAGGCTTAACCCCAGACCTACTTGTAAAGATCTGAAGTTTGATGTGTCCACTGCTTGGCCACCTTTTCTCCGCTATTTTCTCATAAGATTTGTCATTTTTGTTCTTTTCCAGACTGAGCGGGATGTCAGCGTTCGTCAAAGGGCTGTTGATCTTCTTTACGCCATGTGTGACAAGAACAATGCTGAGGAAATCGTGGCAGAAATGTTGACTTACCTGGAGACAGCTGATTATTCCATCAAGGAAGAAATGGTAATTTTGCATTTCCTTATTGGTTGTACCCTTCAGAACTGATCTTTACCATATTGACTTGTTTTGTTAGTCATTTAAGCCCCAATATATATGTGTAGACTCTCTTCACTGTTCTCCATTGTTTCATATTGTATTGCTTGAGAGAATGTGTTCAAACATTAAGACATTTCATCAGTGCTGATCATTCCATTCATTCTCTTGACGTGTACATTTGATTTGGCAGTGATATTCTTAGGATAAATTTGATGCTTATCACTACTGGGGCTTAAAGCGGTAACTTAAAAGAGTGCACAGGTACAAAACCAATCTCCAAGAAATGAGTCTTCAATTTAGACCACTAAGTGACAACAAGGCTTGTTGTTGATCTTTACCATTCTCTTGTTCTGTTAACTCATGAGGGTAAGCATGTGCAAAACCAATCTTGGGGAAAACATTCCTTCATTTTAAGTCACCCCAGGGGCCTGGGTCACGGTCACGGTCTCAAAAATTTTCGGCCCTTCGGGCCTCAGTTTAGTCTAAAAATGGGGGGGGGCCTCCCTGGATCCGCCACTGATTTCTAAATTTCAAAAAGGCCTCACATAACAATAATTATGATACATTGTAGTCACCATCTGTCTTCTCATTGGCTAAAAGCCTACAGTTAATTCTGGGAAACAGCACAACCTACAGATTATTCACTAATCTGTACCTACAGATAGTGAATAATCTGTAGGTTGTAGCCTAATGCATGATTTCAAGAGCAATGTCAAGTGCACGGACAGCAATGTCAAGTTGGCGGACAGCGAAGTAAGAATGGCTTCTCGATTCGCTTCATCGACCCAGCAAGAAATTGAGAAATTACTTGAAGATAAAGTATATTAAAACAATTATTAGATTCAGTTTTTGTGATATCCGGAATAATCAAGGTTGAGGTAAGGTTATCAGCCTCGCCTTTGGTGTTATCACCTTGATTATTCGGATATCACAAAACCTCATCCAATAATTTTTATGTAGTTCATAAACATAAAAAATATTGTTTTGCACTTGTATTTTTGTCATAGGAGTTCACTACACACACAATTATAGATGATGTTTGCACTTTACAGATGAGCACTTTTCTCCAAGTGCTGATCATCATATATTTCTTATAGGTATTGAAAGTAGCAATTCTTGGAAAAGTTTGCAACTGACTATTCCTGGTACATGGATACTATCCTTACCCTCATCCGGATTGCAGGAGATTATGTCAGCGAAGAGGTAAGGCGCTTTGACTGTTGAAATAACAAAAAGTGACTAGAATAGTGCCTTTCATTTTAAGCTTAATTTCTCTTTCAAAACAGTTTTAACTTATGGTCCTTTTTGTGAGCTGTGAAGGTGTTAAATCATTTTGAAAATCTTCACAGGTTTGGTACCGTGTGATCCAGATTGTCATTAACAGGGATGACATTCAGGGTTATGCAGCTAAGACAGTATTTGAGGCTCTGCAGTCACCTTCATGCCATGAGAACATGGTTAGAGTTGGTGGCTATATCTTGGGAGAATTTGGAAACCTGATCGCAGGAGATCCTCGCTCAAGGTATGGTTACTTTTTCCAGACTTCAGTCAGATTGCTTATGAGACAAACTCTAATGCTTCAGTGAACAAGTTGTGACAAAACTTGTAGGGTAAACAGTATTTGCCTCAATCACTCCACACAATTGTTAGGATTGGAGCATAGCTTAAAATCCTCTGAGAAATTCAATTAAATTTTGCCATTAGTAATTTTTTAATACAGCAGGGTAAGCTTTTCCTAGCCTACACATATACTTTGTAGGTACTGAAGTTACCAATTAGTATGTAAGGGTGGTTCACTTGGAGGCCTTCTGGTTTGTTTAACAAGTTGTTGTTTATATAATAATATTATGCATCTGGTCTGACATGAGAAAAATGATGAGGGGTATCTTCAGTGAAAGAGACTTTCCCCATTATTTTTTTATATATTATATTTGAACAGGGCTGTGCTTTAGCAGAACCTGGTGTCACTGGCACCCATCTTTTGCTCTCGGATGACTAAAAAGTCTTAGTTTTTTTCATACAAATCATATGCTGGGTACCCTGGATTTCACAGGGTTCAGAGCACTGAACTCCTTTCAATTTTCCCGGCTACAGCCTTGCATGGAAGATCATTTAAGTGATTTTACCCGCAAGAGGTTCCCTGCAGAATTTCTACACATTTGTGACACAAAAATTCTTTGAAGTTGATCTTTTCCACTCTTTCCCTTTGTCAGCCCAATGGTTCAATTCCAGCTGCTTCACAGCAAGTTCCCACTGTGCTCTTCATCAACAAGAGGCTTGCTCATGTCAACATACATCAAGTTCATTAACCTGTTCCCAGAAATCAAAGGACACATCCAAGAGGTAAGAGCAACTTCTCTTGATCAGCTTCTTATCCGATATTGCAGATTTTAGTTCGTTGAGCCTGTAAAATGTATGTCTTTCACTCCTGATACATGGTGGCTTAAAAAATATTCACAGAAATCTCAAATTTCTTTTTCTTAAATCCTAAAATATAAAAAGTACTGTGTGAAAGTTCTGCTTTTAAAGGGGGTTGAAAGCTGTGCTCTAGCAATGCCTGGTGGCCCCTGCTCCTGAGTGACCAGAAAATTGACGTTTTTTTCATGGAAATCATATGCTGAGCACAGGTTCTCGGGTTCAGAGTGCACCGGGCTCCTTTTTTCTATGTTCTATTTAGTTACTTTTTACATGTACATGTAGGTAACATGATAAAAATTATGTAATGGTGAAACAACAATCAAGCAAAACAAACAAACTTCCATGTAAATGTTTTATTTCTTGCCTTCAGATTTTACGAAGTGACTCCAACCTTAAAAATTCAGATGCTGAAATTCAACAGAGAGCACTTGAGTATCTGAAACTTAGCACTGTTGCATCTCCAGATGTTCTGGTAAGTTTTCATGCTCAGTACGTCTTATTCACAGGTTACTTTTGCCTTCTATCCACCCCAGATCTTTGAGCAAGCTATGTTACAAGGGACTAAATCCTTGGAGGGAGGGGAGTTGCACTCCCTATATTATGACCTATACAGGGAAGGCTTCTAGTATATTAAAGTGTAGGGAATTCAGGAGTTGAAGTATATGACAGGGTAGTGAATGGATACATGTAACTTTTCTGTCTATTAAAGGGTAAGGGGTTGCGCCTCAGGTGAAACCTCCCCATATATAAAACTCTTAGAGTATCCACCTCTGCCTCCCCCTCCAGACAGAATCTTTGGTAAGCAGTAGTCCTAGTGAAAGGTAGTTTACCTTGGTGTTTGTAAAAAGGCAATTATCAGACTCTTGCCTTGTGGAATGACACAGATGAGGTTAAAAGAACAAAACCAATGTGCACGTGGTTCATTCCCTTCAAATATTTTTTACTCAGGCTACAGTTCTTGAAGAAATGCCACCTTTCCCAGAACGCGAGTCATCCATCTTAGCCAAGCTAAAAAAGAAGAAGAAGGAAAAGGCCGGAATTTTGGACAAGGAAGAGAAGGCTGAACCACCCGAGAAACCAACTGCAAACGGACAGATTCCTGTTGCCAATGAGGTGAAGTATTTGCTGGGTATTTTCTTGCTTCCTGGACACAATAATATCTTTGATGTATAAAAGGTTTTGTTTATCGCTTGTCTGGTAACAGGTTGATTCGCCCGAAAGTCTGATAAGCAGTGTTATGGAGCGTTGTTTGTCATAGGGCGAATCGACTTACGTCCAGGCGAAACAACTTCGGGAGAATTTACTTTCGGCAAAACAACCACAAGTTGTTTGTCTCACCATTTTTACAGACATTGATCGTGACATTTCGATGGCGTAGTGCAGGTCTTCATCAGGCGATAGTGTTGAAAATGTCTAAAGTTTGAGTTCGTGAAAGCCGCATGTCCCTATCGTGCTCCTTAATCTGTTCATGCATGCACCTTCCTGTTTCACCAACGTATGCTTTGCCACATTCACAAGGAATCTACTCCATCTTGTTTTCATGGATCATCAGCATCTTTACAAATGTGGCTGGCACTAAGTGTGATCTTAGTGTTGTATCGGACTTGAAAACAGATCATACCCCATGCTGTTGTAGGCAACGACAAAGTGGTGCAGATAGCCCTTTTATGTATGGTAGAACCACTGTAGATTTAATTTGGGTTGTGGGTTCTTTATTAGATGCCTGCTGATTCTTGGATAATAGGGGTATCTATTTCCTCAGAGATAGCGGATGGTTCAGTGATCGATGGAAAAATATCATCACCAAGTTGGTGATGATATTTTTTGATCAATCGTATAAGCACTTGACAACACTGCATTCAACTGGTGGAGGGTGGTGTGAGTCATAAGACAAGTGTTGATCAGTGTGAGTAGTTTTCCTGTAAATACTTGTAGTGAGGTGTCTTCAAGAATCTTTTATGACCAATGTGTCAAGGAAGGGAATTGTGTTGTCATTCTCAGTCTCCATTGATAAACGGATGGTTGGTTGTTGAGCATTGAGATGCTGTAGAAAATTTTCAACATCATTTCGTTTTAAGGTGGTAAAATTGTCCTCAACATAACATTTCTCTTTGGTTTGGTTGGAATGGAAAATAGAGCTTGTTCTATAAAGTATAGAGTTTAGCTATGACTGCAGAAACTGGGCCTCCCATGGCCGTGCTATCTTGTTGTTCGTAAATTGCTCTATCATACTGAAAGTACATGGGCCTTAAAACAAAGTTTAAAAGGTCAGCAATCTGTGTGGTTGTTAATGTTGTGCAGTCAGCAAGACATGGGTCCCTCGCTAGTTTCCATAGCGTCACTTGTACAAGACCTTCAATTAAAGCATTTGTAAATAAAGATTCTTGCAATTTTCAGGTTCCTGCTCCCAATCCAGCCCTACAGGCAGGTAAGATATTCACTTAAATAAATTATGCTAAATAAACTGAACAATAAATATAAAGTTGCATTCACTCATCAGGGCTTTCAGGTTAATGAGAAAATTATCCAGGGATTCTACAGTTTCTTGTCGATGGGAGTTGCATTTAGAATACAGAAAGATATATATTGTACACTCCCCCTCCCTCCCCCAGCAAGCTCGGAATGACATTTCTGCTTCACATTTGGCCCCAGATGACATGTATACCATTCTCTAGGAAAGGGTTTGACTGCTATATGTGATACTAAAGAAGTTCATTTTTTCTCTCATCTAATGTGTATGTAAAATAATGACACACATGATTCTAACGTTGACACGGCTCACTTAGGGCAAAGTGTTGGGTTACGGGGAGGCAGTTTATATTAAAGAATCTTATACTGATGACCCTGTGTTTTGTAGATCTCATTGGCACTGCACCTTCCCCCGTGGCAAACAACATTGCAGCTGTTGATCCTGGAGCAGGAGGAGGTCTTCTGGTAGATGTGTTTGACATGCCAGCAGTACCTTCAATAGGGGGTGGGGGCATCCCATCTGTCACACCCGGTGCAGAGGAAAATCTCAAGAAGTAAGTTTTGTGTTACTTATGTTAAAGGAAACTGATAATATCAGGGCTGTCACTAAGAGCTGGGGGCTGGGGATTTCCCTTGGCTACCATGAGCATGACTTCCAGCCATTTTCATAGGAAACAAAGGATAACCAGACCAAAAACACTCCCTGGCTATTCAGGTCCGGTCCTTACCTTCTAATTACAAATACCTGTCAACATGAAATCTTAGTGACAGCCCTGTAATACGTAAACTGTGTTGCAGACACTCTAAACTTTCTGTTTTCTAGACAATACGTGAGCCAGCTGGAACACAGGCTATGTAATATGTAGCAGTTATTCGATAATGCCGAGTAGGATATGAAGAATTATGAGATCTTCATAATTATTCATATCATACAAAACCTGAATCCAAGTACCCCTCTGAGTGAAGTTCCAGTCTCCAAAACATTTGCCTGTCATCGGCAGTTTCAGGATGTGATGTCAGGATGGTAATTCTTGCAGAAGCTCATCATGTAGTACTTGGCATCCCTCGCTAAATTATTTTCACTTTTATTTGCTGCGTTTTTGAACCAATAATTTGGCTATTTGTCTTTGCATAACATGGAGAGTCTTCCACCTTTTTACTGCCAAAACTGCCGAATGACTGAGCTGCTTTTTTCCGTGATATCTAGCCCTGTACATGCCTTTTTCACTAATTAACATGTTTATTGTAAATGTACAGTACCGCAAAATAAATTAACAGCAAACTTCTTCCAAAGTTGGTCAGTGTTACAATTGGTGACAAACTTGTTGAGACATTGTACTCAAAATTAATAGGGTAACTTCAGAGAATAAAAGTATCCACACCCCTTCCCTTTCCCCTCAAAGATAGGGTGTGTGTTGTTTTCTGTAGGTAGCTCAAACGGCAGCACAACATTGCATAGAGGGGATGGGGGAGGAAAAGCTATATTTCCCTCTTTTGAATTCAGTAAAACGTAGAAAAGCCCAATTTAGGGTGAAGTGTGTCATCTCATTTTGTTACTGATTGTAGCCAGCTATGAAGAATTAGCCTGTGGAATTAGGTCAATCCAAAACGGATACCTACTGTGAACAAATAATAAATTAGTAAGTTATTTTGCCCTTCTCTTGGACATAATGTACAAAAATAAGACCTTAACCTCGCTATACGGAATATACTTATCTTGCTATACGAAGATGCTGCGTAGGGGTTGGGTGACTGCTCTCATTTTATAAGCTCCTCTTTTGGTCGACAGATTTGTGTTCAAAAACACTGGTGTTCTATTTGAAAACGACATTCTCCAAGTTGGTATAAAATCAGATTTCAGGGACCAAGCAGGTAAGGAAGCTTTTGTCTCTTTTTTTTTTCTTTACTTTTTCTTCCTCTATCTTATGTCATCATTGTCATCAAAAACAACAACTTTATGACATAATAGTTTTTTAAGGCCACCATTTTCAATACGAATGTTTTTGGGGACCTCCCTAGAAAAGCTCAGCTGAGCTTGTACAGATCTCCTACTAGGCTATGTTATAGATGTAATACGTTAGTAATTAAGTGGCAAATAAAAGATTGATTGATTGATTGATGTTAGTAATTTTGATTCTTTTCATGATAGGAGCCATCGGTGTATTCTATGGTAACAAAACATCGTCACAGTTTGTCAATTTCTCCTCCACTGTTCATCTGCCTGGGGATCTCAACACTCATATCCTTTTGAGATGGTATATTGTCAATGATGAGAGAAAATTTTAAAGAACGTTTAACAATAGAAACTTGATATTTTCAACAACTGTCTGCCACTATTAGCAAAATGTAATGTTTATGTTAAAGTTTTTTCAGTGGATATAGAATTATATTTTATTATGTAACCACCAATGAAATACCAGCTGAGGAGCTTTCGCGCAGGAACATGATATCTTCACACGTGACAATAACATAGCATCTTCCCACATGAGAAGATCACAGTTGCTATGGTTACATGATAAATCATGCCTTTCACAGTAAATAATACATTAAAATGAAATGGTTTGGTACTTCCTTGGTGTTGAAATAATAAATACAACATTACATGGCAGCTTGAAGGTACAAAATTTCTCTTGATTTCTCGTGTTAAAAAATATTTCACTCTAACACTTGAAGAGAAGAGGAATTTCGTTTCTCCAATCCTCAATATACATGTAAGGGCCTGTTAAATGGAAGTGGGGGACTCCAGGTAGGGAAGGTAACCCGTCTGTCCATGTTATCTCACATGTTAATTTGATCACGTTTACATGATAGGTGGGGTGACCATATAAGAGAGTATATGAACAGGTGGGTGAACCCACCTACCTGGGGTCCCACAGCTCCAAGTAAACAGGCCCTAAAATAAATACATTCTTGTTATTGTAAAGTATCCTTCCTTAATTCAAAGTAAGTCTCCAAGTTAATTCCAGTCCCCCTCCCAGTGTAGTGGAAGGAGGTGCCCAAGTGAAGCAGATGGTAAATGTAGAAGCTATCATGGACTTCAACGAGCGTCCACTCTTAGATCTTCAGTTCAGGTATCTTTTCAACAGTTCAAAGAGTCTTCATAGCCAATAACATCAGAGCTTAACTGACAGACGACCAATAAGATCACGATTATTGACCGATTTCATTAACCCGATCAACTGGTCAACTCGCTTTGACTCGGCTGAAGATGACTACCGCACAGGTGGTCGAAACTGTCAACAAGTTGATGACTTTTGCAAACCCTTCACTGTTGTAAATAAGATAAATAAGATGGGTAACTAGAATTCACTCAAAAGTCTTAATCCTAGAGAACGCATTACTTGATTTCGTATTTTGATTACCTGTTAACATAGAATGGATATTTTGTCTTGTTCTTCAGTGTGAATGGTTTGAGCCAAAGAATTGTTCTTCCGATGCCACTGTTTCTATCCAAGTTCTTCACACCAACAGAAATGACTTCTCAAGACTTCTTTTCAAGATGGAAACAGCTAGGAAAGTAAGTTTCGTCTGATAGGAAGAAAAACTGGCGATATTACCCCGAGGCATTAAAAATGCCTCGACTACCTTATACTGTTAAATATAATGCTCGTGGTAGGACTGTTTTTGTTTCCATGCTCAACCTTAATAGCGATTTAAAAAACAAAGAGACAATATTAATACCTGCCCCTACACCACAGCAAAACCCATGCTATACTTAACTCATTTGCGGTAACAGTCTGATATTATTTAGCCTGCAAATACAGCTCCCCCTCACCTCTTATCGCCGTTGCTAGGGTGTTTTTCGCGAGATGAGAGAGGTGGCAATATTGGAAGGTAGAAATGATTCTTTAGCAGAATAGACTCTATTCTATTATTTTTACATATATGTGAAACTTATTTGGCGAAATTTCATGCTGAAGGTTTCTATACTTTTCCTTTCTATTTTCAGCCCTGACCAAGAATGCCAAAAGATATTTCAAGCTAGATTTCCAATTGACACAGAAACAATTAAAACAAAGGTTTGTAGAAAGGTTTCTAGTTGTTTTGCTGCAACCGTAACAAGGCTGCAGGGTTCGCACGCACCTTGAAAATCCTTGAAAGTCCTTGAAAATTGCAGCCGGTACTGGAAAGTCCTTGAATTTCAATGCTAACTAAACAGTTTAAGGAGAACTGCAAAGGAAAAGGAGCAAACACAAAGACCTCCGGGATAAAATTATTCTGATGTGGAAGAACTAAAAAAGACATAGACTCAAGGCTCTTTTTTTGCACTGAATGTAGTCCTTCAAAAATGCGAAATATGTCCTTGAAAGTCTTTAAAAGTCGTTGAATTTTTTGTTCAAAAAAGGGTACGAACCCTATGGCTATGTCACGTGGATTGCTGTTTTGGTCAATTTTGTGCTGAGGTCATTACTTAAAGCCTTTACCCATACATAAAATGCTCCTGTAGAGTTTGAAGAAAAGGTGGATCAATGTAGGTTTCTGGGAAACTGCCCACCTACCCCTCCCCTAAGCTAACATTAACACTTACTTCTTACCTAGGGCAAAATGTTAGCTCAGGGGAGGGGCAGGTGGGCAGTTTCTTAGAAACCTAAATTGATACGAAAATGTCATACAAATTTCAACTGGGAGCACATAACAGTTTTGGGGGGGGGGGGGGGGGGAGAGCTGGGGGGTGATTTTTGTAGGCATAGCATTAAAACTTGAAACAGTTGGCCGAATTTTTTCAATTTTTTTTCCGTCCAAGAGTTGAATTTTCTGACAAACTGTAACTTGTGTAGCAGAGTTCGTGCGCCGGGCCAAGTTGCTGGAAAGTTGATTAGCGTGCTTCCAGGCTTAGTTACCTTGGCTACTACCATGCTCTAGTTTGAGCTATCCTACTTTATAAAATAGCTAAGGTAGTACGCGCGTTCTGATTGGTTTAAAAACCATGGTTTATTGTGCCGGTAAACTCATAGAAAACTAAACTAACTAAAACTTATAAAAGCAATAGACCACACTTTCTATGGGTTTACCTGCGTGATAACCCACTTGGGATGTTGGGAGAACACTCGAAAAGTTCGAAAGGCTTTTCTCGTGTTCTCCCAAAATACCGCATAGGTTATCACGCAGGCAAACCCATAGAAAGTGTGGTCTATTGCTTAAATAAATGCCACGGTCAAGTGGAACAGACAGACACTAAATTCTAACGTTGCAATTTTGGCTTAATTTACTTGCGTATTTTGTTTTCTCTTACAGCTTGTTGGCTTTGGAATGTCCCTACTTCAGAATGTAGACCCCAATCCTGAGAATTTTGTTTGTGCTGGAATAATCAAAGCACGAGGTGTTCAAATGGGAACGCTTCTTCGGCTAGAACCCAACAGACAAGCGCAGGTAAGGAAGTTTTGTTTGAAAGTATTCATCAAGTCTCTAGCTTGACAATGAACAGCCGACATTTTGACTTTTATTAAACGACCGCCGAAATTCCATACTAATGACGTAAACCACCCATATCTGGGTAGTGCTTCTGATTGGTCGTGGCGCAAGGAAAATTTTCTTCAACCAATCAGAAGCACTACCCAGATCGGTTAGCGACGCGTCATCAGTATGGAATTTCTGCAATCATTCCTCATACGTCATTTCGCGGGAATCCAGTGGCGGCGTCGCGAAATGACGGCTGTTTCTTCAGGCAGGCAAATCTCTAACGCTAGCATATTACCTTTTGAAAGAAACTGCTGATCCACAGTCAAACAGCATCCCTTTGGAGAACAATATTGACCTCTTAATGCAGGTTTTTCATGTGAAAGGAAAGTGACACCACAAGTTACCGTGAAATTTCGAAAATAAGCCCCTCCATGCATAACCCCCTCCAAATATAAGCCCCCCAAACTCGTAACCCAAAAAACCCTCCGTTAAATCGCCCCTCCAAATATAAGCTCCCCGGGGGACTTTTTCTTGGAAATTGTCCTCAAATACAAAGTAAAACAAACAAAAACGGTAAATTTCCTTGCAACTATAGGGCTAGCCCAATCGATTTTGAAACGCAAATTTCCCTCCATAGATAAGCCCCTCCGAATATAGGCCCCTCCAAAAATAAGCCCCTCGAAAAGGGCCTTTGAAAAATTTAAGTCCCGGGGCTTATGTTCGGAATTTTACGGTACTTGAAATGATTCCAACAGATTCCTATAAGGGTAAGGGTGACCTTACTCTGCTAGAACATAGAAACTGATTAACAACTGCGTGGCTTATTGAGTTGCATACCTGGGGTGTTTCCGGAGCTTCCGCTTTTGGCACAGCTAGCCCTAACAGCGTTACGTCCTTATGGCTTGTAAATCCGGGCCTCCTGGCCATAAGCCCTCAACGCAAACAAACCCAGGCACCCCTCAAACTGACTTATCAGTGGGGTGAAGGGTGGGGGTAAAGGATTGATCTACGGGCTAAACGATATGTTCAACTTTTGCAGATGTTCAGACTCACGCTACGGAGTTCTAGAGGTGCAGTTTCGCAAATGCTTGGAGAGATCTTGGAAGACCAGTTTTAAACCAGTCTTCTCTAAGGCGGAAAGCTGAGATAGGCTACAAATAAAAGAATCAACATGCAAACTGAGTAAAACCAGATTTTTTTATGAAACATCTATCACATCTTTATCAAGCCTCAAACAGTAATGTGCCGTAAAGAGTTGTCGTGTCTTTAAATTTGTTGTATCAAACAGGTGATGATTGTTCTGTAAAGTTCTTGTCGTGTTAGCTTTTATAGGTTTTGATCTTAGCCAGTCGTGTGAAAACCAAAACTTGTTGTTTCACAGCTATGTCTAGAACCAATTTACTGGCGTTTGGGTCAATGTAGCACGGGAGTCCTGTTTTCCCTATGCTGGGTCAGCCTAGCACAGGACTGCTCTTCTTGTTGTGCTACAAGGTTACAGTGAATTCTTCTTTCACCAGTTGGCGTATGTTGCTTTGGCGATATGTAGTTCATGTAATAATTATTGTTTTTAGAACGCGCGTTGATTTCATGAATGTAGAGGATAAATGACTCTACTACTGGTTGTAGGTAAAACATAGCAGAAAAATTTTAGCTTCATTCCTGAGATGCTTAATATTTACCACATTATTTTTCTGTTGAGCATAGCTCGTATGACGTATTATTTTCTTTAAAAAGCTGACATGAACATTAAGTTTAGTGATATTTTTTTTCGTTTTTTTTAATTATAACACTACAGAAGCATTTCTACTTAGAACGTTATTGTTCTTTGCAGTGAACATGTACTTGTTCTGTTTTCCAGTGCTTGACGTCTTGGCTTGGCAACTGGTTCTTGCTCGCTATTCCACTGACTTACGAACACTATACTTACAAAAGAGAGCGTCAATGGGTTACCTTGAAAGCGTACAACGACAATTTTTGGCTGTCGTAACCTCATAAATAACAAAAACACTAGGTCTAGGGTATAAAAGGTTTTCGTTTTTATTGTATACGGTATAAAGTCAAGTTTTGATCACATCCTGTGAAGACTGGCAACCTACTTGGTTGAAAGTGTTTACTTTATGGTACATTCTAGTAACACCTTCATTTCTAGAACGGATGGGAGAGAACGGGAATTACAAGTGTTGTAACTTTTGAGTCTGTGGATGAAATCCTATCGTGTGACCATTCAATTGAAATCTCTTTGTCAGTACTTTAACATGGTGCTATTTGTTTTTCAGCATTTTGCAAAATAAAATTAGGAATTTTTGGAATTTTTTACTTTTGCCACTTTTGGGAGTAAAAGGGTTTACAGACTTAGCCTGCTTTTTGCTGCTTACTAACTGAGAGGGCGTTTTGAAACTGTTATTAAACTGAACCAGAGGTACAGTGTATACCCCATTGACATCCTCACGGAAGTGGTACGTAACCAGGAGCCCAGTGTAAGTCAGAATTTGCAAGCCAGGGTCGTAGTCTTGGCCAAGACGTTACAACACTACAAAACCGCTATCTCGAAATGTGCATATTAAACCTATTTCTTTTCTCTCGTTGATGTCGCCGTCGGATCTTAAGGTCCCTATAAAACTTAAATTGTTTTTTTTTTTGTTTTTGGACTTGAACAATCAGTCATCACACTGACAAATGGATGAGTTCATGAAGATGAATTGGTCAGACCTGGAGCATGTATAACTGAAGGCAACTTATGTTTGCTGAGGTGATGCTGTTTTAACGCTAAGAAATATCTATGATGGGATTGAAACAATTAATCAGCAGTTGTCAAAATTGTGGTATTTTATTTTACCATTGATAGTTTAACAGACGCGAGATGTAATACCTTGCATAATATACCTAGGAATTTTATATAGAAAAGAGAAAAACGAACCAAAAAAAACTTGTAACGTGTAACGAACGTAGAGTAGGAGTCATCTTGTAGGTGCTATGAATCGCCTGATGCCAAATAAAAACATCAGTACAGTAAAGCACCTTTGTCTTATTGTTTCGTTTACTATTTTTTGGAGGAGCTGAAAGACGGGTGGTTTAGGAAGGAGGTAAAGTGGTGACTGAGTAGTGAAATGCTAACCGGAAGTAGCCACTGGCAACATAAGAGAAGTTTTCTGTCCGATACTTAACTCTGTTAAAGGACGCCGTCACTCCGGGAAAAGAATGAACACAGTTCCATCGGAAAGGACAATGTGTTGAGTTACTGACTGTTCTCTCTGACGGAGCCATCAAACACATCAAAGTTCATTCATCCGATCTTAACGAAACTCTTCTCCCAAGACCATCGGGAGTTGCCTTGATTTTGGATCACGCTTAGCTTGTTTCGTCCGATGTAAACTTTGGCGGGAAACAGCTACAAAAACAACTTACCAAAACGGGTCGACGACTTTCATCTTATTTTTTACTTGCCTACGGAGGTCGTCTTTGAAGGCTCATCAGAGAACGATCATTAACAATTTAAACTCTCTGTCGTCTTTTTACATCTAGCTCGGCTGATTCTTGAAAATGTACCTGCCGAAAATGCCAGCTATTTGACTGAAATAAGGCTATATTAAAGGCAAGTTTTTCGGTCCAACAAGCTCAAAAACAACAAAGGAAAGAAACAGAATCATATAAAGAGTAAGGATAAGACAAGAAAAGCCAAACGATCACACTGTTAGTGTAAAAATAGCTATATCTTCTTTTTGAACGACAAAAAATGGTTGAGTAACAAAAACTTTCTTCAAAAATCAAAAGGTGACTAGACTGTGGGGTGAAGGGGAAGAGATCACATCCAAAAGGGGGGATAGAGGCTCCAGCTCTAGTTCTGTTTCATCCAACACCGAATTAAAAAAAGCGAGGATGAACGAAGAAGAAGAGGAAACAAATTCACTCAGGGACTTAATTCAAAACTTAACGGCGAATATGGAACGTAACTTTGCGAAGCTGCACGAAGAATTATGTGGCCTGAGACAGGAAATGAAGGACGAAATTGATATGTTGAAGAGCAATATTAAGGGCGTGGAAAAAAGTGTAGATGAAATATGGGCGACCATTGAAGATATGAAAGAGGCAACCAAAGCTCTGAAAGACTCTAAAACGGTACAGGAGGACGAGATGCAAGAACTGCGAGCGCTTCTGACAAAAACCAAAGCTGAGCTAAAGGAGGAAAGAGACAAAGTTACAGAGCTGGAAGATTATACTCGGCGTGAGAATCTAAAATTGCACAATATCCCAGAATCAGAAGAAGAAGGTGTTAACCACTCGCCGAAACAAGTTATTCTCAGCATTTTGCAAAAGGAGTTGCAAATGGACACTGCACAAATTCGATTTCACGCAGTGCATCGAATTGGCAAGCGAAAAGGAAACAAACACAGACCGATCATTGCTCGTTTCGTTTGCCGAGAAGACAGAGATCAGGTTTTTGCCAGGAAGAAGGGAATTAAAGAGAGCACAAGGTTTAAGGACGCTTACATAACCGCCGATTATCCAAAAGCTATACAAGGTGAACGAAGGAAGCTAATAAAGGCGATGTTCAAGGCAAAGGAGCAAGGTTCAGAGGCCAAAGTGGTTGGTAGATATCTGTACATAGGAGAACTAAAGTATGATGTAACAAATATCCCTGAGGATTTTAAGTAGATCAAAGAACGAACATAGATCTGTTCAACTATTTTACGGTACTACTGGTGCAATACAACAACAACTTCTTTAAGTCAGATTGAAGCACATTTCTTAGAAATTTAATTAAGATCGGGCGTTTCACTTTTCGTGTTCAAAAATTCAATTCTGTATTTTCACTAGTAACGGAGAGAGATTTTGTCATTTCACTGATCTCTTCTTGTTTGTCTCAAAACTTTCCTCGGAGCCATAATGAAGGAAAAATTAGTTCTGAATTTTCCCCTGCAACGTCTTCCGCGTCGTACTCCGTGTCATACTCGCGGATGCCTGACGTCACTTCTTCCATCTTCGTCATGTTCGCATGTTAAGATGACTCGACCCAGTTATTTTGTGAGGATACCATCCTACTTCGAAACTCTCTGATATCCCCACCTTTACTTTGATCATAAGTCTAATATATAGCATGGATAACATATAGATCAATCTACAATATAGCATAAAATTTTTGGCGATCGGAGTAAATGTCACTTGGTTATAGTGCCACGCCTCTTTAGGGTCTGAGTCGAAATTCTGCTGTTGCCGGCTCTTTTTCGTGAAAATCTCTCGGCTACTTATAGTTCACATTAGTGCCTTCCGTTGAACAGAGTTTCACCAAAACCGCAAAGACCCAACGCGAGAAATTCAGCGGTTTCCAAATTTAGGTCATAATTTACATGAAAATGATAAGCAAACTTTACACGATTATATCTAATAAACTATGAGATTTATCCCTTTATTTTGGGGATCTTTATAACAGGATGGGTCCTTGCAAGTCAGTAAAAAGCTTTAGGGCCTTATAAATGCGCGCGATTTCGAGCAATGCAAACATGTAGAAATTATAGTTTTAGCTATTTCTTGACGTTTGTCAGCGTTGAAGAGTGCTTCTCACGAAAAAAAAAGCATTTCCTTAAAAATTCGCAGTTTTTTTTTTTTTTCCCTTCAATTTTTTAAGGGTCACAATTGATTAACTAACTACCCGGATTCTGAATTTCATGGTCATTGAAAAACTGTGACATTAACTTTTATAAGCCCAAACTTGAGTAAACATTGAAGATTTTCACCGTTTTGGCTGAGTTTGTGCTTTGGGAGTTTTCTGTTGTTTCTAGTCTGTCATGACACAATTGTTAGAAGGATATTTTAATAAACTTTTTGTTCTCAGTCAGGATAAAATTGGTATATTGAGAGGCTGTGGTATAACTTCCACTCAAGCCATGTCACCATTCGACGCACGCAACATACCGAGAACAGCTTCCGCATTCGCATAGAATCAGAGAATAATGGAAATAATGGTGAACATTGTTAAGTTTGTTTGTCTGTATGTAGGCAGCAGATAAACCGTGAGTATACATTCGGCAGTGTCATTAGTCCGGAAAGATTTAGAGCAGATTGCGAGAAATTCAGGATTAATAGAAAAGTTGAAATTTTCACCAGGCTTTTCACAGTGTAATACAATAACGGGATTGATTTAGAGCAATTTGCTGAGTATGTCATGAAACATATTGTTCATCTTGGATAATGTGAATAAGGGGTTTCGTTTCGACCGCGTACTGCGGGGACTGCCGGTCTTCTTCAGGCGGTAGTGTAGATTTACTGAGTCGAACTATCTTTACCACCTTGATTGTTGTGTCACGAACATTGCTCATGGTTGGTGGGTTTCGATCCAAACCATTTCAACAAAATGAAACTGCAGTTCAATTTTTCTGATCATGACTGAGAATGTGAAGTCTGGAGTGCTCGCTAATTATATACAGTACAATACAAAAAGTTTATTAAATATCCTTCTGAAAGTTTATATATGATTAACAATCAGTTGCTAAAGCAATTCCAGCTAAAACTATTGAAAAATTATCCAAGATGAATTAAATAATTAACATCCTGAAATTAATGAACAAATGAAAGTGATTATTCCCATTATTCCTTTATGGGCACGGCGTTTGAAAAGGGCAATGTTTATGCTATTTTTGGTGTCCTTTTAAGCAATAATTTTACACAGGCCACTCAAGGCATGAATATGTAGTTAAATATGCATATTTTGATAAAATGCTATTTGGAACGGTTTGCTTCTATCAATGATCCTGAAAATTGAACTTGAAATGTAGCTTAATGGCCTTAGCAATGTGAGACATTTTAGAGGCTCCAATTTTTGTCACGTGACTTATTATTGAGAATTGACGGTCGAATTGTTCTCTAAAATGGGGAAAGGATAATGAAAGAGCAACAAGTTCTTTAAGGTATATTTCAGAGGCTATTAAAAAGTTCTGAAAAATTCGCCTTGTAGGTGTGTTTACGTTATATAGGAATCGCCGAATAAAGGAAAAGGGGTCACGTGACTTGTTAATTAGTTAAATAACTAACAGGATAAATAACATTTCCAATCATACAAGGCGAAAATACAATTTACACTGTTTATGTAACATTTTGGTGGTGAAAATTCCTAAGATTAAGGTTCGCAATCCTTCCCCGTTTAGGAAAACGTGTCTTGTGACGGCATTGACGAAGCAAAGTCATGTGTTATTTGAAATCGCGTTTTACGTGTTTTTTTTTTTTTTTCTCATTTAACCACATTTGTAATTTACTTTTCAGAATCCCTGCTAGAAGGAACCATTCAAAATAGCATTGTACAAAATACGCATATTAATTGGTACTCATGACTAAAGTGGCCTAAGTACTTTTTCCTGTAACCGTGAGAATTCCAAACTCTCATTGGTTGAGGTTTACACAATGAACCACCAACGGAACGGAATGCAAAAAAACAATTATACTTGTGCTCATAAGTGATTGTTGTTTTGTTCATATTTCAGTTCAGTTGTGTCATTTTGATGTACAAACTTATTTCTTAGAGGTTATCAAGTAGACCAAAATAGTAGAGTCTCCTGCTGTATACAGAAAATAACAGGGATGGTTTTTGCTATAGTTTCCTTCTTCAGTGCATTGCTTGGCGGAGTAGTCGGTGGTATCCTCACAATACTGACTTTGAAGATTTTAGAGGCCAGGCCGAGAGAGCAGACAAGAGTGGAAGTTGACAACGGACGAGAAACAGGAGAAGGACGAATAGGGATTGGGATTCAGGAATCTACAAAACTGGAACAAGAACATGATGAGAGGTGTTGCTAATAATGGTTAGCTCATTATAAATCGTAGTTCAGGTAGGACGGGGCAGGGTGGGTCAGAAGGATAAGCGGGAACTTGCTCATTTAATAATAGCACCTTTATATATTCCTTAGTGTCGAGTTAAATAAACATAAGGGTGATATCAGTTTTATTGTGAAGGACCCTCCAGAGTTGAGATTTACGATGTTCTTAAGTTTTTATCGCACGTAGGAGTCCTTGTTCCTTCAACTATAAGAAGCTGATTTATAGTTATAATGCACGTTCTTTTTGCACATATTTTTGCCCAAACATAAAAAAACGTTGATTTATTTTTTTATCTAAGAACCTCATCAAAAAGACCAGCGTTTTTCTTTGGTCCTTGGTTGATTACATAGGTGTGCTTTTACTGTATGAAAAATTCCTTGATACCTAGTATATTGCCTTAATTTTCAAAAATTGATGGCGCAGAGTTGGTTATTCTTGACTATCGAGACTACGAGATATTTCCTTACAACCCTCCGCGCTACACGTAGGAGTAAAATGCGATCATGCGAATGTTTATTAGCATGATAAGTGGTATTAGAATCCCCCATGTTAAAAAGTCCGTCACAGATCGTTGAACCGTGAACCGACGATATTTTGTCCTTGGTATTTTGTCAGCTTGGTTTGGTATTGAGAACAGGCCTCCGGAGCATGAGTAATCATTCAAGACACAATGTGATTTATTTAAACCTACTTGTGCAAACATTGTGGAGATTGCTCAGGGACAGGCGCTAAGATTTATTGAAATCTTGAATCATGGAATTGGCTGGAAAACTTGACTGTATAGAGGCTAATGCGTATTTGGTAACAGTAATTTTTCTTTTGTTTTTCGGCCTTCACAGAGGCAAGTTGTATATCTTAGGTATCAGCGGACATCATTTAAGCTATACAAAAAATGAGTATCAGTTCTAATACCAATAAGTTTAATTTGTTTTTATTTGTTTCTACAGCAGTTCCATCAGTTCCAAGGAGGATCCCAGAAGCTTCAATTCATAACCTAGCCTTTCAACTTATAAATCTTAGTTATTAAAGCACACATTGTTAGAAATAACGCACCACTAATTATCGACATCTACTTATGATGAATTAAGTTAACAGGTCATGAGATTTAGCGCTGACGACCAGTGATTTAGTTCTGATAAAAATATTTTGTAGCATGTCGTTTTTTTCGTAATAGTTCGGTGTTAAAGTGACGATAATAGGGAACTTAAGAACCACGACGAAGTTCACGACGACGACGTCTGTTGACTGGGAAAAGACTGGAACGAGAACGTCGGTTTCGGCGGGAAAAAGGAAAGTTAAGATGCGGTCGGTCGGTAGGTCGACGACGACGACACTGAATGTAAACACAGATGTAAAACTGTGATGTTCGTTCGCAACAACGTTTTTCGCAATGGCGTCTTACAAAACAACGCAAGATCTTATTTGTTCAAGCCGTACGTCTAATTTCATTGACGATGAAAAATTTCTTGTGTTGTCTGACCTTTTCGAGTGGAAATACACCTACTTTCCGTACGAAATTATTCAACTTTCAACTTGAATGAGATAGCCGAGTCCGAGTGTCCGTCAGATTTTAGATCTCGAAAAAGAGACATTCTGATGTGATAGCTGTTTTCCATGTAAAGTTTATTTCCTCTATATTAAAGATATATGATTTGCCTTACCTAAATACGTACAAATAAATTTATCACAATTCACTTACGAGTTCGCTCGCTCGGCCTCCTCAGCAGTTGTCATTCTTCAAAGTAAAATGAATTCATTTGTCGAATTTTCAATCAACATCGCTCGTCTGGAGAAAAAAGGAACGATACCTTGATTTAGGAGGACAAGAAAATGCAAAGGCCTTCAAA